TTGTAGTATAAAGGTAAAACAATTCAATCTCAACGCCAAACTAACTGTATTTTTTAAATAGGTTTTCTGCTTTCGAATGCTAGACATTTGTGACGAGATGTCGATTTCACACCAAGCTCTTGGTGCGGTTCTTGCGATCTCAAATTTCATTAAGAGTCGTCTAGTTATTGTCACTTTGGTTGAGTCTACTTCGTACATCGTGCGACTTCCAGAAACTACATGTATTATATTTTGACGATAGTATTTGTCCTCTAATTAGTTGTTCGAGATGTATTAGACGTTTTCGCTTTCCACCGGGTGCCGCCGAATCGTTAGTGCACTTGACCCAAATTTTAGACATTTTTACAGAGCGGGTTGTTTACCAAAGAGCGGCAGTTTATTTCGTAAGTAAAACATGTTTCCGACAGTCTTTTGTACTTATGTCAGTACATAGTTCAGTTAAAATTGGTATCTACAAACAGATCGGAATAATTTGTCTCGCGAATTCCAGTTAAAAGTTCAGTCAGATATATTACCTGCCAAAGGGAAGTTCTTCTAACTAACATTTTCACTTTTTTTGACTTCCTGCGATTTGTAATCCGGCATGATTCACCGAAAAACCCGCTTCCAATATGCTTAACGATGGCCAGAAACTCATAGCTGGCAAACGTTGCTTTGGTATCAATGCTGTGAGAATAGGCTTTTTGCTATAGTGCTATTCATCAGTCTTCTCAAAGCAATGTGATCTAGACCAGAACAGCGCTTCTGCCGGGGCCAGGTTCAATAAAGGATGGGTAACTCTATCCACCCGAAAACTCACTAACCCAGATTGGATAGTAATTTACCCTATGATAGCGGATCAATCTTTTGAACCACTGAGCCAGATGCGTAGCTAGAGGTTGTATAGAACTAGTCATGTTTTTTTTTTTTACAATTTAAGTTTGTGGTTAAGGTGGCTCCCTATAGTTTTACAACTGCACGCGTGCAAAGCACGAAAGCTCAAGTAATCTGCGCGCGCTCAAAAGAAAACGTAAGTGTTTTTCAATTTTTATGACGTCAACATGAGCACAAAAAGCAAAACTGAAAGTGAATTTTCTCGCGTTTCCTTCGGTGAATTTTTGTTTTAAATTTGGCTCAGTTGTAACCACATGTAATTCCTATAAAACACCCCTTTTTGCTAAAATCTGTCAGAGCTAATCTGATATATTTAGAAGAATGACAAATTACAGAATATTGGAAAAACCGTCTGAACAATCTTGACTTTTTACCAATTCAAAATGTCAGGTAATATCATTTCCATGAGGTGGCAAAGTATGAAAAAATTTCACCGAAGGAAAATATAAATATTAAGGAGTTTAGGCTGAATTGAGGAATATATCTGCCTGTGATTAGATGAGATGTTGCCATGGTAACAGCCTTAATCCAAAAATTGACAACTAAAAAATAAGCCTCATTTTAACAGTACCCATACTGGTAAATCTCTACAGGGAAAACTTTAAGAGAAATTAACTAAGTTTCCTTTTCTAACTCGCGCTCTATAGGGAGGGTGTTCGTAAATACTCTAGGGAGCCACCTTAAAGCTGAAAGCGGAAAATAAATATTTTTCTCCATATGTATTTATTGGACATTGCTGAAGTGAATTATTTTCAATAATTCCCGTTTTCGGATTCCACATTACGGATTCCGGATTCGGATTCTAGATTCCATTCTGTGTTTTAGGGTTGCCCTCATTATATTGCGATCATTAATGCCTAAACATTCCATTTCTCTTGACGACAACTTTGATATGACATCAACTGTAACTTGATCTCGCTGGGAGTTCTCTAATAGATGCCTTAGCTTAGGTTTTTCAAGCAATTAATTTCAAATTGTCTGTTGTTTCTGCTTCAGCCGCCATTTTTGTTTCCGAGAAGGCACTGGGCCCACTCTTAAAACAGGGTCAAGCGGTTCTTATAGACGAATAAAGCCTGGGAGATAGTGTTTGAGAGCAGGAAGTCAAGTCGCGTTATATAAGGAATATATCACATGTCATAATAGAGAGCCCACGTCACGTCATGTGATAACCACATAATGGAAGAAACTCACCACATAAATACGTAACCACATCACGAAGACTTCAACACGTTACGATGGAGACACAACACATTGCTATGAAACCTCGTCACATAACGACAATTCCACACAACATAATGACAGAACCTCGCCACATAAATATGTAAACTCACCAGGTCATACGAAGACCTCAACGCATCACGATGGAAACACAACACATAACCATGAAACCTCAACACATAACGACAATTTCGCACAACATAATGACAGAACCTCACCACGTTACGACACAACCTCACCACAAAACAATGTTACTGCAGTGCATCATGACGAAACTTCATAGCATCAATACAACACTTCACGATCGAAAGAAAAAAAATCCCATACGAAAGTTATGGCTTTCCATACGCTTCACTGGTATTTCATCCTGTAGTATCTAAAGAGTGTGTACTTAGCCGAAGAGTTGATACTTGGACACTCATGGGCAGGTGGGTAACTCTACATGGGGTTTCGATGATAGGTACGGTAAAGTGTGCGTGGGGCCTAGTGGCCCAAACATCCAGAGCACCGGAGCTTATCCCGGTTTCTATAGCATTCCACGCCATTCCCCTCCCCCCCTCCCCACCCCTCCTCTTCACTTGATGGGATGCTAGTCCTTCATAGGACTACATCAAAATATTAAATTCACCTACTTACTTATATACCTCGGTGGAGAGACGCACCGTGAGAGTAAAGTTCCTTGTCCAAGAACATAGCACAATGACCCCGACCAGGGATCGAACCCATATCGATCAATCCAAAGTCCAGTGCGCTAACCATTGCCGTCTTTAGTGACACGCACCAGTGAAATAACTCACCACGTTATTGTTTTAAAGCTACATACTTTGGAGTTTCAGACATAATAGACAAGACGTTACGAAATATCGATTGCTAGTGACTTTTCTCCATCTTGCCTCACTTAACATATTGTCATCTCGTATGGCATAATTGCAGATCTTCTGACAGCAGAAAAATAGAACGGATTCAAGAACGTGCACTTAGAGCAGTATTTAACTCCCATTCAGAAACATATGAAAACCTTCTGGTTCGAGCAGAGCTACCTTCACTACTAAATCGTAGACTACAAGATATCGCTATATTGATGTACAAAGTAAAATATGGCCTTGCGCCGGGTATTGTTGACGAACTATTTAAGCAGAAAAATACTAGTTATTCACTCAGAAATAGTGATTTTGATATCCCTACTTTTAATACAATAAACTATGGAAAACATTCTCTAAGATATCAAGGACCGCGCACATGGTCGAAATTGGATAATAAATTGAAAGGCTCTGAATATCGAATCATTCAAAACGAATATTAGGAAAAAAGACCTCACGTCTTTTCTGTACAACAGCAATAATTGTTGTAACCTCTGTAATTCTAAAAGACTACCTATTCATGCCTACTGTTTTCATGTACCACTTATACATACATTTTTGCAGATTGATTGTATATACACTTCTTTTTTTTACTTGTTTAATTGTAAATAATTTTAACTTTTTTTTGTTGTGTCCCCAATTAGTAGTTAATACTACACTTCAATAAAGCGGTTATTATTATTCTATTTGTTAAAAATAAATGAAACTTTGATAACCTGCTATGGATATGGTAATTAAACTGCTTCGCTCCAGTGGGGGAGCCCACTTGCTCCAGATGGCATGGTTACAAGGGAATGTTACCCCCTACAGACCAAGCAAATAAACAATAACATCGTAAAAAAATTTACATGACTGTAAGTTTTGTCCATTTTCCATTTTTACTTAAACTTTTTTCTTAATTTTTTACCAATTTTTATCTACACAACGCTAAAACTTTGATAATACCCACGTGCAAATGTTTTGATTCGTAATTTGGTGCTGGCCTTATTAATTAATTCATTCACGTTCCCTGGCAGTCAGTGCATCCCTGTGAGATGGTTCTCGTTGATTCTTAATCATGCACCTTTTTTCTGAGCTAAGTGTCCAGGGGTCCGTTTCTCGAAAGCCCCGGAAACTTTTCGGACCGGTAAAGCCATTTTTAGTCCATCCGTATCTAAAAACGGAGAAGTGTATACGCCTGAAACTTCTTGTATGAAGGGAACTTCTCTTCATATCACGAATATGTCAATAAAACAGCTATGTAATCGTAGGATTCGAGATTTTGCTATGGCTTTACGGGCCCGAAAAGTTTCCGGGGCTTTCGAGAAACGGGCCCCTGACCTTGTCTAGTCCCTCAAACAGATTCCATGTTGTCGCGCGTCTGTTCAGTAATTAATCACATCTCTTAGGTGAACGATGGCTGAACAGCCACACGTGGAATCTATTTATTTTATGCAATAAAGAAACAAAAATGTTTAATGACGTCATCTATGCGTCCGTCATCCAATTGATCATAGGTAAAAACCAATCAAAAGGCTAGAGTAATTTAACTTATTAGGTAAATAAGAATTGAAGCCAGCCGCGAGAAGTTTTCATGTTTCCAAGGTAATAAAGTATGACCAACTACAGTAAGTGGAACGTCAGCAGTTCGTTGAAGTGCTTTTGAAGAGTCCAGTTTTAACCCACCTAATAACTTTCTCAGTGAGATCACTTTCATTCCATTTCCCACACATAGAAACATATAAATTTTACTAGTCTTAAATATCTAGGTTTCATAAATAGCCTGCTTTGTGTATAAATGAGTTCGTTACCAACACTATGGTACTTGATAATGCCAGTACAATATTACCAACTTAACAACATTATTTAGCTGTGCTTCAATATTACCAACTTACCAAAAACAAACCTTGGAAAATTCGAACACCAACTAAGGCCATGACGTGATATCGGGCAGCTATTGGAGTAAGAATAGCCAACAAAGATGTCAAAAGAACGCCATAACCAAACACACGTGTGCCACCAATTTTAATAGCAAGCCAAGCTCCTGGGATCTGTAAAACCCAGTAACCGTAAAAGAATGCGCCAAGGACAAGACCTAAAAAAAAATTAATTACAGTCAAACCACGCTGGTTAAGTGAAGAAAACCAAAAGGACACAGAAAGCTGTCCCTATCAGCGAGGCGTTGGTATTCAGAAGGTCAATTAAGGAGAACGGCTTCAAGGTAAGGACTAGTTACTCTCGTTATCATGAAGTGTCAGTTTAACGGTACGCCCTTTCAGTATTCGTATCCGGTTTCCCATTGATGTCATAAACATTATATTAAAAATAAGCCCTAGGGAGGCAGTCAGAGACGTACGACTTCGGGAGTGTTGGAGACGGATGGAGCCTTTATTGCGGTGTGAAGCACATTGCACACTGTAGAAAGAAACTGAAACAGGACAGACTTTATCAAGTCGAGGGTCTCTGTGATTCTCTGAACGTCCAATTCTTATACTATAGAAAAAAACGCCATTGCACCTACCTTGCAGTTTAGAATTCCAGTCAAATTCAGCTTGCTGTAAATGTTCAAAATAAGATGTAAAATTAAAATAAACGACTTAATTTATGGAGGAAAACACAAACCAGTGGCTCACGTGAACTCTAGCGTAATATTTTCAAGAGATAAGCTTTTTTCTCATCATGTACATGAAATAAAAGAGTTCTAAGAAAGAACTAACGAGCTAAAAATCATAAAACTAGTTTAACTAATTACAATAAAGCGATATTGATTAAAAAGAAAAGTTGCAGAGAAAGCGAGGAGCCCCCGCCAACGGATTCTTACAGCGTTCGTCACTTCCAAACAGCCCTGCGAATGCTGGCTTCTGATTAGGAAGAAAAATCCCTTGTATTATTCTGGCCAATCGGCGGGCAGTGGGTTCACAGGACAGATAACGTGTTCTAATACGAAACCTGCACAAAAGCTAGTTCCTTCTTGGCATTTATCTTGCTTTGTAGCATGATTTTACCCAAAAAGAATAGTCTTGTTAACATATCAACGCCGAAACGCCCGAATGGTGAAGCGCTGCTACACGCACTGCACGCGTAGCTACCGTGCACTCGACATACCTGTTTGGCCTGTGAGTCCAAAAAATATACATGTTTCTGTTTACGGAAAGCAATGACGCGAGTACGTGAGGGGTCCATCATCATCACTTGCACATGCGAATATATATTTTTATTCTTTTTACGCAAGGAAATCTTTAACAGAGGGATAACAACTGGATTTCCCTTTCACCATTTTATTTTTTCAACGGATTTTGAGTAATAAATCGTTATTATTATTGTAATGTCATGAGTAACAAATTACTCCTTAAAGGGACACAGTCAGCTAATTTGTATATCACAGAGACGCGATCCATACTGTTTCTAACCAAATATGATAAAATAATATCACAGGATGAGCAAAAGCACACTGAAAAACAGGTTTTTCAGTAAACGATTGAAAATCAAGCAAAACGCTGCGAAGATTGAAGCGGATTTCTAGATGTACTCGACGAGTATCTTTGATTTTGAGGTTAAGGTGAACTCTTTTCAAAGCGAGAAAACTAGGGCCCAGGTCAGCGCGGTTTCAAAGCTGACTGTGTCCCTTAATTCTGGCGTGAAATTTAAGCGTTAATTTATATTGAATTTCACGTGTGAAATTACAAAATTACCAAGGCAACGTTTGGCGCGAAATTTCTCGATACAACAAACAAGTCAAAAACCCACAATGGTAAGCGTTATTTGTCACCCACGAAATTAAAACACGAAGGCGAGGGAAATTATTACAATTTTGACAAAACACAAGAGAAATTATTTGCTATTTCGCGGTATTTTTTTAAACTTATTTGACGGTTGACAGTGCAGAAGTGTAGCGGCTCTCGTAAGCTTGAAATTCTTTTCATTGTTAGCAGCTGTTATTGTTTTAGGGCCAGGAGCATTCTTTCTATTGTTTGTTCTATTGTCCTCTCAAAGTTTATTAATCCACTCATGTCAGACTTACGAGAGCTGCTTGCCGACCTGACACTGGGCGTATTTGACGATTGACGGTAAATGTTTTGACGGCACAGATCAATCCCTTTGAGATCTTTCGCTTTGTGCTCATGCACCAGAATGCATCAGTGTATTATTTGTCTCATTAAAGCATCCTGCCTCGCACCAACCCCAACCCCGTTTCCAGGGTCTCTCATCTTCCCGCCTTATTGGAGCCGGAGGCCGAAAATATAAAAATCTTGGTAACGAGGTTGCCCTACTCCCTTATAAAGTATCCCTTTTTAGAGGTTTTGGGTATAAAGGGTATATGAATATTTTAGTGCGGCCAAAGTTTGACTGCATTTTATCCGCGACGTTATGTTAAAATATTACTTGATTGCAACTCCTTGCGGAAATTAAACAATCGCATTAATTGCAAGCCATACATTCAGCGGTTTAAGGTGGAATGGTACCCTCAAACCTAGAGATTTTTAAACTCTTGTTCTTATGCCATCGTAGCTTGATTAAGAATATAACGCAGACAGTGGTGATAAACATTGTATTCCAACGCATTTTTAATACAGAACTTGACGTTTCGGATACTAGTCTACATACATTTTCATAATGTATGTATTTAAAAATAAGAGGTCTGGAACCTAGACTGGGAAAAATGATCTTCAGCTCTAGACATCATCAGGAGAAACAGCTAATAAAGCAACAACTTCTCACTACTGACTGACTACTGACTACTATCAAAGGAAGGTTTTAGCTTTTGAATGAACAGAGTCTCTTTAATTCTGCAAGGAGAGTCAGTTTTGCAGGAGGCTAAAATGTCAAAATGATCCCATTTTATGTTGTGACCAGTGGTTTTCACATGATCAGCCATTGCTGATGAATGGGCACTTTTAGCGAGGGCCTCGAAATGTTCTGTTTTTCTGTGATGGAGTCTTCGTTTTGTTTTGCCAACGTGCAAAATTCATCCCAGCAACCAGTCCCAGCAACCAGCTTTATTGGTAAATACTATTGGAATGACCTCAAGTCCCTCTTTCTGTTCGTAGTGTTTCATCTGAACCTCTCTTTAAAAAGGCGCTTTCTATGTATTATTTTGCTCAGTATTAAATTGACTTGATTGCAGTTATGGTGTGTGTGTTGTGTGCTCGTGGGTGTGTTTGTGTGTTTGAGTTTAAAAAAAGGTAATATCCAGTATTTTAGGGGCCTTAATTAGTCTTACTATATTGTACCCTTCTCCATTTTTCGCTTTCTTTAATATCTTTAAATATCTTAAAAGAAAGATATCTCTTCATATAATAATGACTTTGTAATATAAAAAAAATATCTTTGTAATATAATAATGAATGGAGGAAATAATAAAACAAAACAAAACAACCAGTTCGCGGTTCAAGCGATCTTTGTATGAAAAGTAAGATTTGATGCGGCGTGTGTTATGGAATATGATCTTGAGATTGACGAAAGGGTATAGAAGTTGTATACGCAGGATTTCAGACGTTTTATGACTTGGTTACTGTGAAGACCTAAGTAGGGTAAGATGTCTAGGATAGGATTAAGATATCTCTTTGGGGAACTGTAGCTTGAACAGGGTTATTTGGATTGTTTTTATTTTTGTTCAATACATCGTTGAACATGATAACACCTTGAGGGTAACCATTTTGCAACAGGAGCTTTCTCAGATCTTAAATAGCGGCTTGCAACAAAAATGACGCAGAGCGAATTCGGAAGCATCGATGGGTGAGTGTGCGGATGAGGTTGATTTTGTACTTGCGAGGTGTGAATGAATCCGACTTGGTGTAGAGGCAGACGGATGTGGAGAAAGTGTTGATAGGGCAGCGTTTAACAAGGACTTCTGAAAATGGAATCTTATTGTCTCCTTCAAATGCAATGGTTCCAGACCTCTCATTTTTAAGATATATATAGTTTTCAAAAAATTGTAACGGTCACTTTTGAAAATGTATGTAGACTAGCAGGCGAAACGTCAAGTTGTGTATTAAAATGCGTTGGAATACAATGTTTATCACCGCTGTTTGCCTTATATTCTTAATAGAAATTTGTCTATTAAGTTTTAATAAATTATCTTTAATGTCATGTTATTAAGTTCAACAGGAGAAATTGTTTGACACAAATTACGACATAAATAGTTATCATGGCAACCGTGCCACGCCCATAAAATCGTGGTTTTATAACCTCCACGCCAACAACTATATTTCCTTACCAAGGAAATATTTGATTCTGAGATTTTCAGAATATGTTTAACATACATAGAACTGTAATATGAACCTAGAACCTTAAGATAAAATCTGATAGGAAATCGAGCAATTTCAGTTTTTAGTGGATAAAAACCTTGTACCAGAATAATTTTAAGCATATTACTGTCCTTTTTTCACTTTATAAAAGCTAAAGATATAAATAGTTGCCTGAAATAACATGAGAAACAATTTCCCATGGGAACTCGAGAAAATCATTTCAAGGCTCAGAGAAATGGTGCAAACACAGGTAAAATTTCATCATCAGTTTCATTTCTTCAGTACTTTTAAGTGTTTCACATGAAGTTCAGAATTTGTTTTCGACATTTGGTGTTGATAAAAATGATTTATTTGGAGAATATATTTTAAACAGTCGCACAGAAGTTTGTAATACTGTGTAAATAAATTCGGTACAAAGTTTTTGTCCGCTTGTTACTCGAACTTCTGGTGGATTCCTTCTTAACAGCTTAAGCCTTTTTTTCCCTTAATTTACAATGTGAAAGAGAATATAATTAACTCATAACCACGCCTACTGACGAGATTGGCCAAAAAATGGGTGACAAATAAAAGAACGTGACTTGATTTAGGTTCATATCTCAGAAGCACTATTGATCAAAGTCTACAGCAAAAATGAGTGTTTTATGTTCCAAGGAGAAGTGTTGAGCCGAAGTGCCTACAGTCAAAATCTGACAATGAGGAAAAGAGAGTTAACGTTCTAGTATGGTTTTCACAAGCAATACCATAACTATGAACTGCAGTTGAACACTAAAACCGTCCTGGAGCATCAGGAACTCCTTCATTGCGTTGATTTTTGTCCTCCTTTTTCTTTTTCTTCCCTCTCACTCGACGGTATCTCCGTTTTTGATCACTTTATTCTGGAAAATTTGTTTTGGTAAAATGTCCGTGTTTTTTGTTTAGTACAAAGTATACATTTGTTGTATTAATAAGTATCCTAGCGCCGCTTATGTTTGTTGCAATAAACTATGCTGTTTATAAGCTGTTTATGTCTGATCAATGGACGAGGTGCCCCTCCTACACGACTGGTGTTTTCTTGCTTGTACTAAGTTAGAAATTGTTTTGTTTTCGTTTCACGCAGAGTGATCAGACAGCAAACAAGCATTCTTTTCCAGGCTTTCACAGAAAAGCTACCCCAGTTCATATATACACAAGGACAGAACGTCTTAATCTATAACGGTGTCGATTTCAGTCAGAAAAAGCACATTTTCTTTGTTTTCGGCCGTTAGAGTCAATAAACGAACACTAAACAAACTGGTTGCCCATAGCAAACATGCTAAAAAGTGGTGAAGGTTTTTTCTTTCGGCAAAAAAGTATCTTTCATAAGGACCATCAATGATTCAAGATATGAAAACTAACCAAAAACATTTTCCCACAATTTCACCAAATTCGACGAAAATTAGGGTACTATTCCACCTTAATCCAACTTCAGCAATTACTGGGTCAATGAAGAAGTGTTTTACCTTCGTTATTTTAACTCCTTGTCTAATCGCTGTTTGATTGTTAACCATTGCCACCAGAGCCACATTAAGGTTGACCCGCATGGCGTAGATATTCACAAAACCAATAAAAATCATCAGTAACAAAATGTATCTCTTTGGGAAGCTCACGAGCGCACTGGTGTTCTGTTTGCTTTCCTTCCCTGTTGGAAATGTCGAGTATTGATCATCTAGTATCGAAGAAACCTTTTCTTTGTCATCGAGCTGTTGGTTCATCCTGAAAAACTAAGGTGGTAAAATTAAAAAAAATTGTGTTCCCCTGCGTATATTGCTAACTCCTTCCTACTCAGTTTAAGTGGGGCGTGGGGTGGTGGAGTGGGTTCCCCCTTAATTAAGCAGCCTAAAACGCGGTGATACCGCTGAACAGAGTATGGTTTTCAGCGTGCAATTTAACAATAACAGACTATTTGTCTGGGGATTTGTCGCTGGGAATATTAAACGGGTTACCTCTGGGTTCCTGGAGGTGGTTTAGAGCCATTTTGGCGAGTTTTACTTTCGAGCGGTTTGCTTCCCCTAAAGAAAACGAAAGGCGGGCGACCCACTGGCCCGATGGCCCGCACTCAAAGCTCCGAAAATTCCACAAAAATAGTCTAATCTCGTCAAAATTGCCTCATGGCAGCCGTCGATTACTCTTCTTCCCATTCGCTTTCTCCCAACGTTCCAAAGTTTATCTTAACCACCCGAGAATCGCGGGTTTTCCAGCTCTTGCTTTCCGTTTTTTCTCCGTCTCGATCCGTAACCGATGATCTTGGCCACAGGATTTGAATTTTGTGACAAAGTCGCCTCCAACCGCCGAGAGGCACGGGGCATTTTTTGAGGCGGTTGGAGGCGACTTTGTCACGATGGCCCGGTCGCTAAACTAGAAATTCAAATCCTGTGGCCAAGATAATCGAGAGCAAAGATTCCTTTGTAATTCATGTTCAAAGAGTTCGATTCGTCATTATATAAACAGAACGACATGGCCTATAGACATTCTGTTAACAGTTTAAGCCAAATTAAGCCAGTTCATTTCTCAAAAAGGCGTTCTAATTTGGTATGTTTCTCCTGCGATTCAGAACAAACCGATAAACGTAAGAAGAACGCACGTGAATGAAAATGGGAAATGAGATCTCATTAGCGTCATTAGACCAGCTTTCAGTAAGCTATCAGTAAAATACCAGGGAATAACCACAGAATGCCATAAGAGATTTGCACAACTTAAATAAGACGAGGTACTGCAAACTGAAAGGCATAGAGTCTACACAGTAGACGGGCATATGTGCCATTTGAGTAACGTTGAGTAGCGTGCAGTAATATATCAATATGAAGACCTATGAGCTAATATGCGCACGCGCCGGCACAATACTTCACATCTCGGAGGGGTAACCCGAAA